ATCAGTCCAGTGAATTTTAAGATAGTGGTTTACTTCTCTGGTACTGTAGGGAACAAACATGGCTTTGATTCTTCAAAATATATAAGATACATCAATGCAGTCCAGCCAAAAGTTAATATTCTTTCATCATTATTTGTATTGTTCTAAAAACTCTTTGACTTTATTTCTTCAGTAGAAAACAAAAAAGCAGAAAGAAGGATTTTCAAGCTGCTCTTGTCCATACTACAAACATGGATGATGGTTTATAATATATTATCAACCTCCAAAATTCCAAATCTTCTGAAGTCATGAAATAGCATTGTGTGAGAAAATCAAATGGATCATTTGCACTTGTGTGCACTCAGGCAGGATGCTTCAAGACACGGCACGCAGGGTTTGACATCAGCAATCCCAAACATCGTTTCTAGAGCATCTCATGCGAATAACATTTTACATTTCAGTCTGTCCCTCACACAAAGCTATTACTATCTTTGTAAAGCTATGACTTTAGAAAACTTGGACTAGTACATGAGTCACACAAGTGTAACTTTTGGAGCTTAAGCAAGACATTACAGTTGTCATGCACTGGTCAATTTTTAGATTTGGGCTTTTTTGCTTCCATATAGAAAGAAAGCATCCAATATACAAAATTATTATTATTATTATTATTTTTTTTTGCATCTGTACATGGAAATTCCAATACATATCTTTAAAGAAATATGTATTTAAAGACCAAACTTTACAGTTTTATTACAATCTTTATTCTTTATTCTTCATTTTATTTTATTTGTTCATATATCATTTGCCTGATTTATTTATTATTTATTTATACATTAATAATATACTTATTTATTAACATTTAATTCCTAAAAACATGGTTATTTTGTTTATAATATTTTCTGATTTCTAAGTGATAAAAAGAAATATCCAAAATACCCGCTGTAAAATACTTTTACTCTAATATAAAGAAAGCATCCAATATACAAAATTATTATTATTTATTTATTTATTTTTGCATCTGTACATGAAAATTCCAATACATATCTTTAAAGAAATATGTATTTAAAGACCAAACTTTACAGTTTTATTACAATCTTTATTCTTTATTCTTCATTTTATTTTATTTGTTCATATATCATTTGCCTGATTTATTTATTATTTATTTATACATTAATAATATACTTATTTATTAACATTTAATTCCTAAAAACATGGTTATTTTGTTTATAATATTTTCTGATTTCTAAGTGATAAAAAGAAATATCCAAAATACCCGCTGTAAAATACTTTTACTCTAATATGTCAACAAAATGAAACAAGAATTTTGAACCAGGTTTTATTCAATGTTTGCAAATGTATGCAAATGTATGCAAATTAGCGCATATTTATTTAGACACTGCATAATTTGCATATTTAAACATTCAATTTGAGAAAACTTGTAATACAAAATATTTGTCTTAATTTACTGTGATTAATCAAATGGGAAAGTATGGTGATATCTATTATTTTAGTCTATTCACATTTAATGTCTTGTCTTATGAATGAACGTTCGTTCATTTGTTTATTCAAGCTAATTGATAACCTCTTCTTTCATTGTACTGAAACAAGCAGCTTGAATAGCATGCAAAAAGACACAAGAAGTGAAAAAATTAGGGATTTAGAAAGAAAATAACGACAATTTTTAATACAATTTCCACTGTCTAGTTTTTTTAAATACTTTAGCTGCCTATAATCAAGCAAAGAGTCAATGAAGCAAGGATGGCATTAATGATTATGTAAATTCACTGTTCTTGGTTTATCAGTCATTTTCTCCACCAACAATGTCAGCCGGTCGTTTTGTCTCAGCAGACGGGACACATGAGCTCCAGCACAAAGGCATAATGTCTGGCTGCTTATCATGTCTCTGGAGTCGGTCCTCTGGCCACAGTCTCTCAATGGAGATGTTTGACTGTGTGATAGGCATCTAAATTCATTTGCAAATGTGCCCTTTCCATTCAGCAGTCCTATTGACTAAAGACAGACTCTGTTCAGTGTGCAGAGGTGGGCCGTATGATCAAAACTTTATATCAGGATGTGACGTAATTCATATCATGGCAACTGTATATATAAATATTGTTATATAATGTAAATACTGGTTTTTTTTTAAACTTTTTTTTTAAAGAAATTAATACTTGAGCAAAAGTAAAGACATTTAAAATGTAACAAAATACTTCTATTTCAAATAAATACTGTTCTCATACATCAAAGAATCCTGAAAAAATGCTTCCTGAGCAGCAAATCAGCATATTAGAATGATTTCTGAAAGATCATGTGACACTGAAGACCGGAGTCATGCTGCTGAAAATTCAGCTTTGCATCACAGGAATAAATTACACTTTAAAACATATTCAAATAGAAAACAGTTATTTTAAATTGTAATAATATTTCACAATATTACTGTTTTTACCGTATTTTTTATCAAATAAATGCAGCCTCTGTGAGCATAAAAGACTTCTTTCAAAAACATTAAAAAATCTTACTGACCCCACACCTTTGAATGCTATATATATATACAGTATATATATATATATATATACATATGTAGGCATCTCATAAAGGGGTATAACATGCTGCCAGGTGATGCCAGGGGCAGTTAGAGGGGCTTTGGGGTCTCGCCTCTTGACCGGAGATTTGGATTAGTTTACACCCCTCTTAAAGGTGGCAGCCAAGAGCCTCCTATTTCTGCCTGCCCTATTTAAGGCAGAGGGTGGCAGTCTTTATAGCCTTTATAGCCTGTCATCTCAAATGGCTTCAATGGAGAACAGAGTAGAATTTAAATGTGTGCTAAACTGACTGGAGCTCCTAAAATTAGACCCCAGGGATATTAAAAAAATAACACAACGATACGCTCTCGACTGTTTTAAAAGTATTTTTTGGATTGCAGTAATTAAAACATACTCTTGTCGAACAGATAACATAAACACGCCGCATGGGTGTTTTGGACATTGTGACTGGACAGGATTGGTCTGACCGTCTTCTCACAGCATGAATTGCACAATTCTCAGCCAATGCCTGGAATATTTCACCAAATGCCACTGGAAACAGACGAGGGAAATGGAGTCTTGTGACGCAGGGTGGTGTGGAGTGACTGTGGTCAAATGACCACAGGGAAACTGGGCTCTGTGGGATGTTTTCTATTCAGTATTGGGATCGTGCCAGCCTGCAGACCACCTCCAGACTGCCCACAGTCCTTTCTGATGCATAACACACACACAAAACAATGACAAAATCTGAATAAAATTGCCATTTGTGGTCTGATTTACGGGTGCTGGTGAACAGATTATACTGCTCTCCAAGCATACTACATGTAACCACTGCAGCACTGAGCATGATTTCTTAAATAATAATAATACATGATCAGATTTTCAGCTGAAATGTATGTGAAGTTAATATACAATTTAGGGTCAGTAAGATTTTTTTTTTCATGTTTTTGATGTCATTTGATCAAAAATACAGTGAAAACAGTAACATTGTGAAATATTATTACAATTAAAAATAACTGTTTTCTAATTAAATATATTTTAAATGTAATTTATTCCTGTGATGCAAAGCTGAATTTTCAGCATCATTACTCCAGTCTTCAGTGTCACATGATCCTTCAGATATCATTCTAATATGCTGATTTGCTGCTCAAGAAACATTTCCTATTATTATCAATGTTAAAAACAGTTGTGCTGCTTAATATTTTTGTGGAAACCATGATACACTACCATTCAAAGGTTTGGGGAAAGAAATAAACAAAGAAATTAATACTTTTATTCAGCAAGGACACATTAAATTGATTAAAGTGACAGTAAGGGCAATTATATTTCATTTAAAAAAATTATAGTGAGGCTTGTTTTGTTTTGCTTGTCTCCACACAAATGTTAAATAGCAAAAACTGTTTCCAAGATTGATAATAATAAGAACCATTAATAATAAGTGAGCACCAATTTTTTTCAAATTTGTATAACTTTTATATGAATCAGTGAATAAAATTGCAGTACTGAGTGCAATTTCTTCAGACATTACAAATGGCTAGTATATTCTACGAGTGACTGAATCTTGCACAAAAAGGTAAAAAGCTATATAAACTAAAACATATACTTCCAAACCTCGACAGAATTGCATACATATCCTCCTTACATTCCTCGCTCTGACTTTCTCTCTCCAGAGAGCTGACCCACCAAATGAGGATGTCTCAAAAAAGGACAACAAATCACATGTCTGAGGACCAGAAGCACACCACAACTTAAAATAAGGAGGCTCGCCGCTTAGACCACAAGGTTGAGGACAATTCCAGTGACACGGCGGTGTGTGTGTGTGAACTTGACTCGACCTCTGTGATCAACACTATAAACTCATCTGATTAAATCAGTCTCTGTCGCACGCACGGATTATCAGAGACGTGTACACAAAGAAGCTCTGTCACAAAATTCCAATGAATGCTGATGATTTGATGTCGGACCGACTGATGACCCGAACACAAACTCTACAGTATGTGAACTCTGAGTGGCCATCATTAGTTAATAAAGGAATAATCGAAGCTAGTGAGCTGCCTTGATGTCTACGGACTATACAGGCAGATGTTTATTAAGGAAGCATCCGAATAATGCTGATTTAAAAAAGACTTGTGTAAATAAATAGTAACAATTATTCCTAATAAATAAATGAATAAATACTGCAAATAAATAATTTATAATAATGTATTTATTTGTAATAAATAAATAAATATTTAAATAAATAATTTATGTATCTATGTAAAATATCTTAATTAAAATAAATAAATAAATACATACCTACATACATACATATATACTGTGTTTCAAGTAACTTACAATTGAAAAAAATAAAAAATAAAAAAAATTGTGGATTTACAAGCAGAAATGTGAAACTGGTATATTTGTAGTTGTCTGAAACGAAAATAGAACTGTTTTAAAACTTTTGGGAAAGTCTAATAATTTCCAGTCATTTGTTTATAATGAGACTACAGCTTCACTCACCCTCCACTGAATCTTCACAGCACTGGTTGAAGTTCTCGTAAGAATCCCAGCGAATCAGAGGATCTTGGGTATTGTAGTCCACAGAAACACTGGGCCCGTTCTCAAGGTGGTCCGTTCCTATGACAGAGCATCCAGACTCAGAAGCTGCTAGGCTCAGTTTACGTCCTATTTCCCAATATTTCTGTGATTTATTTAATAGCTGAACATGAATGACGATAAATAGAGTTCTTACCTTGGATTTTTTCTGGGCCGAAAGAAAAGACAAATTCCACTTTTCCATATTCAGGAAATCTGTCATCTGAAAAAAGAAATGGACTGATCAAGCCAGTGTCACCAATACAGCTGATTTAATTCAAACAAAAGAAAACATGAAACCAACCAAACATAGTCTGAGATGTCACAGCATAGCCAAAAGTATGACTATACAAGGCAAATCCAGCATACCTTTAAATGTTTCATCAAGCTCATCTTTGCCGAAGATGATGCCCAGATCATGAACAGCACAGGTGTGAAACTGCACTCTGAAGATGACATCACGGGACGGGCTGCGGAAGCGTTTGTGATAACACTTGAGCTGTGGAGGACATGAGAAACCACATTACAGCAACAGGTGAAACACACACAGACCTGAAAGGGTAAAAGAAATCATGCACTATTACGAACCGAAAATATGCTGGTTTTCAGCCAGGCAGAATAAGGTCATACAAGTAGACACTTGAAGCATTACAGTTATAAACAACCATAAATGTTCTGGTTAAACACAAGTTAAGTTTGATTAATAATAACGTTGATTACCACTAAAAAATGATTTTGACATTTGCAAATAAATAAATAAAGTATTATTATTATTAACAACTAATAGTTATAAATCAATCAAATACACAGGGATTAAAGCAAAAAAAATCTTTTGACTGAAAATTTTGCCTCAGTCAAACCCCATTCCACAGCCATACCTGTCACACACCCAGTTTAAGAGCAGTTTTTTCTTCTTGTAATTAGGAGCGCCTGTCCTCCCAATTTAAAACATTTAGGAGCACCTTCTAATCAATAATAAAAAATTCTGATCAAGAATTAGCCTTCCTAATACAAGCTGACATTTGACTCAAAGTGATTTCAGGGGCATTTTCTTTTTACCTTTGTAAATGCATTTTTCTAATTTTATTAAATGTATGCAGTGTTTCCTAGGATTTTTTTCCAGCTGTGGTGGCAGGACTATTTCTCATGGACCACGCCCCGTCCCCTCCCCACCAAAGAATCAGGTGCACTCAGAATTGAATTTATTTTAAATATTTCAAATTAATAAATACACTAACTTTCGTACAAATGTAGCAACACTTTCAAAGATTTACGAACGGAAATGTGCAAGTGATTTTTTTGTTATTTATAAGTTGTCTGGAGCGTGAATAAAACTGTTTACTACTTTTCTAAAAGGATGAATTTCTGGTTTGCATTGCCAGTGTAATTCCTGTGAGTGGAGATTGCTTCACTTAAACTTGTAACCACGATTTCTGCTTCTTTGTTTTCAGCTGAGGGATGAGTTGAAATGACTTTCTGCCAGTAGATCTTAAAGGCAGGGTATGTGATTTTTCAAAAACACTTTAGAAAACTGATTCGGGCCGAATATTTCTGTGTCTTTTTCCCGTGTTACTTGAAATGTTTCCTTTTTGAATCGTTGTTACCAAAGGCGAGACACGTGAGGAAAAAATAAGTAGCGGGACTATATTCTGTCATAAATCGCATACCATTCATTGCTGAACTTTCTACCGTCCGTTACTGGAAATGAAATGAAATTATGGGTTGATATGTCCCGATCTCAATAAAGTTTACATACGCTTTTGGTCCGTGAATTAGATCTCGCTCGGGACGCGCGCTGTCCGTGGAGGTTTGGCCAGGGCCGGTTCCAGAATTAAACCAACATATTATATGTTCCGTCCATTGCCAATCACTGCTATTTTTCGAGAGTGAATCACGCATAAATATGCAGATGTCATTCCCGAAACTTTGCAGGGTGTAGCCTATGTGTCCGAAAAATGAAAGTTTCATACAAATTCTGAATGGATTACACCCTAGAAAGTGCGCAAAGCGCATTCCCTTTATCACTAAAAAGCGTCACTCATCTTCGTTCATCGCGATCTTTTGTTGTCATTATTAACCTTTTTTTTTTCGTTTGGCACAAGTGAAGTTGTTTTTGATGATTTGCCTAAAGAGCATTATTACCTGTGAGGTCATGATTGAAGTAAAAATTTGAATGAAATATAATTTTAAAGGAAAATTGAGAAGATTAATTGAAGCTAAACAATGCATCCCAGGCGCAGGGCTTTGCTGGAAATGCTAAAAAATCGTATTGATGTGGTCATGGTTGTTAGTAATCTGTTCACTGATTGGTTGAAACCGACACGGCTGCCGGCTGCCGCTCACAAAAAGATCAAATATTTTTCTCTTTGGCGGCGCCTGCCTCGAAGCGCCGTTGCCTGTGGAAGCGGCAGGATTTTGGGTGCAGGAGAACCGCTTGCGCTCCGCCTCCGCGCCACCAGCGAAACCGCCCGCGTTTTGCCACTTTCCGCATGTCTCCCATTGAGAATGTACTAGACACTCGCGACTGCCGCGTACCGTGTGAAAGGGCCTTAAGTCCTGGCTGCCAAACACATCTTTCTATTTGCATTTAACAGAAAGGGTCATCCCTTCTGATAACAACACAAGAGCATGCAGGAAGCTACAGAGGTGATGTATGGGAAAAGCCCATGTGGGCTCCTCTGATGGTGTGTGATTCAGAAACCCCCCAGACACAGAGGCCCGCCTGTGATTGGATGTCTTGAAGGCTGGGCTACATGCCAGGGAAGCATGAGCAATAGCGTGTGGGAAAACATGGGGTGTTTCTTACTAGATCCCAGATGTGTAGACGGGCTGCATAGCCTGGTAGATCTTAAGGAAAGGGCGGCAACCTGAGAAACCATGAGAGAAAGTGAGAGAGAACAAAGAAGGTGTTACTAGAGCTCTAGAAGTGGAATATCTAAAGTGCTGGAGCAGAAATTGTCTCTATAACTCTCTCAGATCCTGTGTAAAGCCAGTATTAACATGCATCCCGAAAGATACTTTTTATAATGTTTATAGAATGTTTTCAGGTATTTACACATGTCTCAAATGTATCTCCACCGATTTGAGAATCAAGCCCCATGTCACAGTCTAGGGAGGATGGATTAATTTACACTACAAATGCGATGCGGTCACATGTGTTTCTGAATACCTCCGACTGTGGTTTCAGTGATCGGATCACAAAACATTCTGGACCCCGTCTACACCTGTATTTAGCGTTGACCTCTTGTGATCGGATCACCCAAGACGTGTGTAATAGAGCAGCATGTTGTCAGTCTGACAGGGAGGCGTCAAAAGCAGCAGGAGTCGAGACGGACTCAAACCTGCCTTCAACACCTCCAGCAGTCTCTGACAAATGCCCACCGGTCAGAGCATTTCAGCTCACCTCCTTTGGACTCGAAGTTTGGGATCCCGTGCATGATGACGTGGTGCAGAAACAGGGGCTTGTTGTTGATCTTGATATGGCCGGAGAGCAGACCGCTGAAGTACTGCACATACCTAAAATGTAACATTTAAATAAAATACAAAAAAAAATATTAAAATAAAAAATACACAAAATACAATTTTAATATATAAAATGTACATATCTAAAAACTTATAATAAAAAAGGTTTCATTTTGTTAACAGTTAATAAAGACATTAGCATTAATGCATGAATTAACAATACTTTTACAGCATTTATTAATCTAGGTCGATGTTAATTTCTAAATATACTATAATATAATAATTTACAATAAGTAACAACATAATAATAATAATATTAAATAATATAATAAATCTTTACAATAAGTTTAAATTTTTTAACACCCATTTAGGAAACACAGATGCACCTGTTGTACACTATAATCTTGCTGAGTGTGTTAAAAACTTTCAAGGTTTCAAGCAAGACATATATTCATGAACAGTGTTGGGGAGTAACTAGTTACATGTAACGGAATTACGTAATTTAATTACAAAATAAATGTAACTGTAATCAGTTACAGTTACTAAGAAAAAATGTGTAATTAAATTACAGTTACTTATGAAAATGTTAAGGATTACAAAGATTTTTTCCACACACACTCCCACATACAGATTTAATTGAGTTCTTCCATAAATTGCAGTGACTGCTCTAAAATATGAAACACCAATGTTTCAGAAGTTTATAACATGCTTATCCGATAGGGTTTATGTATATGCTTTATTTTTTTTAAAAAGTAATCAAATGTAATCAGTTACATTACTTTAATAAAGTAATTGAAAAGTTACACTACTTATTACATTTTAAGTAGGGTAACTTGTAATCTGTAACCTATTACATTTCCAAAGTAACCTTCCCAACACTGTTCATGAAAGTGTGTATTACATAACATCTATCTAAACATTGTTGTGAGGACCATTTAGGGTCATGAGATGGTTTCATCTGCTGCGATTTCAAACCCTTGGCACAGATGTTATGTTTTATAAACAGGAAAAAGTATTTTTCTTCTTGAACGTTGAGGTCGTGTCCCTGGAGATCGACAGTGATCAGCGCTTCTGCATCTTTCTGGCCGAGCGCCCGAGGCCTGGTTTCCCATGAACATTCAGTTGTTCCAGGGCCTCTCTATTCCAGAAGAGCAGAAATCATACGCTGCTTCTTTCCTCCTGGAGCAAAGCTCTTACCATGACTCTGCCTTTCCATTTTCCATAAAGGGAGCGCAAGTATGTGCCCCAATGAAATCTAGTTTTAATGAAACCTGAAGTGCCCGTCTTTCCATATACAGATGGAATGCTTGATTCTGTAAAAGCAGCACATCCGTGGCCAAGTGTTCCCTTATGAGCCATAAACGGGTGTGCGTATAGGTATGTACACAAAGCATATGTACACTTTTATCAGCAACTCTGGGTTTGTAACTGTACAATGGGTTTCAACAATCTGTGAAACTACTAGTGAAAATACATCTATTGTACCTTCTTTTTTAATATAGCATTTTTCAATCACAATCAGCATTGCAATCTTGTGTCAATGGACGCAAGAACATCTGACCATCTGAGCAAAGAGTCATTTGATCGGATTTTGTTAAGATTTTGTTTATTTGAGTAATGAACTTGAATCTTTCTAATGAATCATGAATCTTTCTAAGACTAATGAATCTTTAATTTAAGTTTCTTATGATCACCAAGGCTGCATTTGATCAAAAATACAGTAAAAACAGAAATATTGTGAAATATTAATACAATTTATAAGTTTTCTATTTGAACATATTTTAAAATGTAATTTATTCCTGTGATGTAAAGCTGAATTTTCAGCATCATTACTCCAGTCTTTCTTATATGCTGATTTGCTGCTCAAGAAACATTTCTTATTATTATCAATGTTAAAAGCAGTTGTGCTGCTTAACATTTTAGTGAAAAGTGAGATACATATTTTAGGATTCTTTGATGAATAGAAAGTTCAAAAGAACAACAGTTATTTTAAAATAGAAATATTTTGTAACATTATAAATATCTTTGCTATTATGTTTGATCAATTTAATGTGCCCTTGTAAAAGTATTAATTTCACACTGACCCCAAACATTTGAATCATAGTGTATATAGATATATAAATGTACTACTTACTAAAAATTTAATTTGTACACCAAAAAAACAATGTTACCAATAAAATGGTACTATTTATCCCAGTATTTGGCAATTGCAGTGAGCTAAGCAGCAATACTCTGAGCACATCTGATCCGAGACCAGTTGTAGTGAGAGATGGTGGTCCTGAGGCAAGATTAGACATGATGTGTTTAGAAACCTTGGAGAGATTACTCAACATCAAGTATTTTTACTTTTAAGGATATATCACACTGCCATAGGGTACAGTTAGTTAAACAACATAACCTAACTTAACCTAGCAAAACTACACAAGCATTGTTTGCATGTTTGGAGCAGCGTTATCAGGAGGGTGAAGCTCATAAATTTGAACAATGGCTGAAGCTGAACGCTCACAATGAGGGTCAAACTCATAAAGCACAGAGATAAGAGGTCAGATGGGGAAAACAAAGCACCACTGACCTTCTCTGGGAGGGCTGACCCACAGGAAGCACTTTATCTTCATAAAACCGCTTCATGGCAAACCTGTCCAGAGCCTGGTCTGCACTGCAGAGGCAAAGCAAACACTTACATTACTGCAAACACTTGGGCCATTTTCTTCAATACAAAAAAAAATAAAAAAAAGTCATATTCATAATAAGCATCTTTGTCTTGTTTTCCAGTAATAGTATTTAAATGTGCTTCTTGAATTTACTGGAAGCTTTTTGTTCATAAAAATAGCATGAATGCACTTTTTTGCATCAGGGATGAATTTGATCAGCACTTAATTTGAGTCTTGAGACAAATCCGCCTTTGTAAAATGATGCAATTTGGCAGCTGTTTTTCTTGTTTTTCATGTGTTACCTAATGCGTGGCCGGTCTTGTGATGTGGGATTAAGGTCTTTCCATAATAAGTGCTCAGAGGAGCATCTTTAATTCAATAAACACAGACAGTACGCTGTCTACACATCTTACCTCGCTGATATGTTGCTGTAATGCATGTACGCAGCTACAACTACCCCCGTTCGACCTCGGTTTCCCTGCAGGAAGAGAGGAAGATGGGATTATCAATGAATGCAATACATTATTTCATGTCTCCATTATATATGTGTACAAATATATGGAATATTTAACTCAATTTTAGTTACAATTAAGTGAACTTCTAACATCAAAAACTGGCAATTTGTATATATATATATATATTCAAAAGGATTCAAACAAAAGATGTTTCTCAAGAATAAAGTTTTAATACATTTTAACAGAATAATTTTTTAGGCTTTTCCTGTACTAATGATTTTTTTTTTCCCAGTTAGTTATTTGTAAAACCCCTTTAACCCCAGAAAACAGTACCACAAACATTAGCAATGGATAAATTATGAGATGCTTTGTGGTAATAATTAGTGTTTGCCACTCAAAACATTGAATTGTGTTTGCACAAATGACAAAAATCAGTATGTGTGATAATATAATAAAAATATCAAAAAATATTATTTATATTATTTATATCATATGTATGATACCATAAAATTGTAAATTATCATTAGCTGGTATTATCGTTAACTAAAACTATTAAAACGCGTTTACATTAAAATACAATAAAATTTAATAAAATGTAATAAAATTAAATAAAACTGTATAAATATAAAAAATGAAACATATTTTATTTCAATTAGTTACCAAGTCAGCATTTCTAATTTTCATTTAGTTTAAGTTGAAGTACTAAAATTACTAAATCTAGAACTGAAAAGAAAAACTAAAACTGTAATTAATAATAATAATAATAATAAAATCAAAATAGTTTATGTATGTCAAACAAAGCACACAACAAAATTTCTAAAAATAACAAAATTTAAAATGGAAATGGAATATATACAAATGAAACCCAACGCATTAATAAATACTATAATACGACATTATATTATAATACTAATATAACACTGTTCCAGAGTTCAAAAGGTATTTTAGAGCATGAATAACCAAAACGTTATGATGCATCAGATCAGAAAAACTTAAAACAAACTATTTCATGTATAGTTAGAGTCATTTTAATCACACAGTTGTGTTCTTTCTGAATGAGTGAACATTTCCACCATCAAGCCATCGCCTCGTGTTTCCACTGTTACAAAGAGCAACACAAGTTGCCATAACAATGCAGTGTTTATGGTTTCCTGCTAAAAAGGCAGCATATTTGTGTTCAAGACATTTCTGGCCCTTTATAAATCCAGATCACAACCTCTCTTGGCAGCTGAGAAAGCTCTCACAGAGCACTAATAATGGGTAAGATGCGTCTTGAGGGTGTGGAAAGAGCCGGCTCTGTTTGAAATCAAATGGGAATACAGCAAACTGGATTTCTAAAAGCACTAGACCCATATCAGGACAGACCTGCGACCCCATTGAGAAGCAGCAGCTGTGAAGATAACCCACAAACTCCACAAGAGGCTGTTTTTCTGACGTTTATACTCACGGACAGAATCCCTTTCATTAGCGAGGCACTTTAACGATACCGCTATCCTCAAAAACAACAAGAAACATTTTACAATCTAACTTCAAAATGCATTGTCATCATTTTAATGTTTGTAAGTGGTAACCAGCTATGTGACTTAACCAGATCAGAAGGATGCATTCAAATGAATTGTTTAAGAAAACAGATTTGCTGGAACCTCAAGACAGGGTCAGGCAAAGGGTTTCAAAACAATGGCCTAGTAATGACTTTACAAGTAAAATCCGTGATGATTTCTTACATAAAAACTCTGCTGTTGCATCATAAATCACACTGTCCAGACCACCATGACCTTTAATGACCCCACACCAACCCAGGTTTATGAAGAGCTGCCTGAGAACGCCATCTACTGACAAACCACTATGGCTGCTATTTACAGTAACTATAATGTGCAGATGGAAAAACTATTAGGCAAACATCAGACTATGGCTCTGTTTCAAAACCTAGTGAGCAGCCCTGCAGGCTACTGCCTACTAAGGGAACATCATAACTCTCATGAAACCTCATGAGACTCAAAGCACAATGGATTTCAAAAGAGTAAGCATGCTGCTAATCTAACAACACAATACTATAATATATATATTGTAAGTCGCTTTGGATAAAAGCGTCTGCTAAATGACTAAATAATAATAATTATTAATTTAAATGCAGCCGTTACCCCAGAAACCCTGTAAACAAAGCAGCTGCACTACTT